GCCGCCGCCGCCGCCGCCGCCGCCGCCGCCGCCGCCGCCGCCGCCGCCGCTTCCGCCCCTCTAGCAGCGTGACCCAGGGTGGGAGGAGCCTCGGGGCTGGCGAGCTTGGGACCCGGGCCCGACCCCGCCTGCTCGCGCTCCGCCCCGGCCACTTCCGCCGTTGCGCAAACCTGGCCTGGGAGGGGCGTGGCATTGGGTGCGAGAGGGCGGGGCTTTGCGGCTCCCGAGGAGCCGTGCCCTGCGCTCCCTGGAAGGGGCGGGGCCTGAGCGTCCTCGGTTGGACTGGGAGCTGAAAACAGCTGCGACGTGACCGTGGCTGCCGGCCGGCGACTGGCGAGGTGGGTTCCCGGGTGCCGGGGAGGGTGGGGACGGGAGTGCTTTGATGGAGTGTGTGAGCCGGTGCTAGCTCTACCGGGATGGGGCGTCCGCACGCAAAATGGGATGAAGGGAACGGAAGGAGCGATGAGGTCGACAGTGAAGGCTTTGAGTGCGTGAGCCGAAGTGACTGCAAAGCACCGGAGCCTTGTGATTTTAGGGAGGGAGGAGTCCGGGCCGGGGCCAGTGGTGCCTGGCGCCGCAGAGGGTCGGAAGGAGCGCTGTGCGAACTCCATTCGCGTGTCAGAGTTCACCGAGCCGTAGGCGAGATCTGTGTGCCTTGGAGAAATTACTCTTCAATTTAAGGAAATTTAAAAATAAAGCAGAAATAGGGGTTTTTTTTCAAGGTAGAGGAGGACTTGGGGAACAAAGAACTCATTTTAAATTAAAGATTATGAGTAGGAATAATTGTGAAATTTACTTTTTCTGATTCATATACTTTGCACTCTGTGTTTAAAAAGACTATTTTTTGTATATCCTTTTATTGGTACATTTTAGGTGTCTAAGATAATGACATTAGTCATTGGAGATATGCACCTTTACATACTCTTAAAGACTTTTTATGCTCCAGAAATGACGTAGACAAATGTACACACTGAGAAGTCGTTAACACAGCTGAGAAGTGATTGTATTCATGATGGTGTTATCAGTCAAGTTTATGTGGAGTTAGTTGTGCGATTCTAGGTTGCTCCGGCTGTGTGATAAAGATTGTGACTCCCTTTTATGACAGAAACATAAAAAGACGTAGGGAAAGTGGGATTCACTTGCTTTTCTCAACATTAGTAGATACTTCCCACTGACTTCTTAGAAAATTCTAGCATTTGTTAACAAATAATTTGCTGAGAAGGGAATCTGGTTTCCCGTAATGATGGAGGTCCCGTCTCATTTAACCCTGGATGCTTTGAAGCCAAACTAGATCAAAAGGGAACTTTTCCTCAAGTTCCTGCTTTTTTGTGGTGTTTGATCTGTCATGGATAAATCATAAAGTTGGAAAAACCAGTTATAGCATGCCATCATAATGCAAGCTAACTCAGTTTTTACTAACGACTTGAAGGGGATGTTGAAATTGTAGTGTTATATTGCCCTAATACTGCAAAGTTGACGGTGAAATGTATTTTCCTTGTACAGTATATTCTGATGGACTTGCAATTATGTTTGTTTGTTCTTTTTTCTCAGTTCCCTGTATGTGCATTTTCCCATGCAAAAAAGAAGCTATGAGAAAATTATCAAAAATACAAACTGAGAGTATAGAAATAAAGCTACTGAACCCATGCATCTATTTTTGCCTCTTCCTGAAACTCTACCAATAACAAGATTTTTTTTTTGTACCAGGGATCGAACTCTGGTCCTTGCACTTGCGCAGCAGGCAACGAAACCACTGAGCTAAATCAAATATCAGGATTTTTTGAAGGTATAAACAGTTGTGATGACACTGTCAGAGACCACCATAAGAAAGGACAAATACACTTTTGGCCTCTCCGCCTGTTACTCATTAAAAACATGATTTGTGTTCTCTTCTGAGGCAGAACAGCTTTTGCTAAAACTCATGACTTTTCCTTGGGCTTACAGATGCCTAACAGGTAACTAAAAGCTAAACAAAACTTGACCACTACGAATCCCTTATTACCTGAAAGCTGAAGATACAAGTATGTTGATCATTTAAGAAAAGTTGGCAAAACAAGTTTTCTTAGCCCTGAATTTAGCCAGCCTACCTCATCCTCCTTCAAGATTGATGACATCAAGATAAGAATAACTAAAGTCATTTTTCAGGATTTATAGGGACATTCGGTAAGCTCAGAAGTCTCCGCTGCCTTACATCTTGAATTCTAGTACAACCTCACAAGACTGAGACAGTTGAATTTCCCCTGAAGCCGTAAGGATTCCTCTGGAGCTATAAAATCAGGACTGAGATAGTGATTAGCCAGACCCTGGCCCACCACAGCATCCCATGAAACTGGTCTCCGTTCTTTTGCGAACAGGCCACCACATCAGACCTGTGTCCCTTTCCGTCAAATGGAAGCCCTTTTCTTATCTTCTCTTACTCTCCTTTGTTAGGGGACCAGCTTGATCTTTGTCAGAGCTGTACTTCCCTTTATTTTCCTCTTATTTTTTAATGAAAGCTTTTTCCTGTAAATTCATGCTGAATGCCTTGATTTTAACATCCCTTATCGCTGAACCAAGCACCTAGACTAGCTGGTGACTGTCACATCTGATGACAATTGGCAGAGCTTGAAGTCAAATTACTAACAAGTATGGGAAAACTCCATAAATGAGTAAGGAAGACAGTTATTAACTATAGAATTAAAACATTGTATGGAAAAGTAATCATAGAACACCATTTGGCTTGTCTATGAATAGTATTTACTTGTTACAATAAGGTACACCCAAAATATCTCATCAAAAATATGCTATGAGGGTGTAAGACAGATAAAAAGATGGTGTGTGTGTGTGTGTCTTAGGAAGTTGGAAGAGAATGAGCTGCATATCTTCTCGAGATGCTGCCTGGAAGTGAAAAAGTAGAGAAGGTACAAAACCAGCATGCTAATTTGAAATAGCATGACTCAGCAAAAGATTTAGACGTTGTTGCCTCTTTCATTGGGAAGGAAGTTGCTATTTCCATGACAAATCTGTTGAACTCTTCAAATTGTGCATAACACTGATAAAAGTAGCAAGTAAATACTAATATGTTAAAACGAATAAAATAATAGAAAAATTCTAAGCTTACAAAAACCATAAACTGTGGAATGCCTGGTTGTTTTTGTCCCCTTCCCCCTTTTAAAAATTGAAATCGAACCAGGGATTTAGCTCAATGGCGCCCTGTGCCTGCCTTGCAAGCGCAAGGTCCTGAATTCAATCCCTGGTACCAAAAAAAAAAAAAAAAAAAAATTGAAATCAAACCCTTTCACTGTGTTAAGATATGATTCAATTTATTTAAACATCTTTCCTAACATGTAATATAAGTTATGTCTCTGTTGCCAGACTCACTGAAAAGTAATTTTTTGTATGGGTTTTCTATTGGATGATTAAATATTTTTTAAAAGCTGTCTTCTGAGGATAATAGGTTTTCATTTAGTTCAACAGAATTTCAGTGACCTTAAATGACAATATTGATAATCTTTTCCATTTAGACATTGGAGTTGTCTGCCTGTGAGACAGTGATATCTACCAAACTATGAATGATACAAGAACTTCACTTGATATTAAAGAGTACCCTGATAGTGAGGTACAGAAAAACCGAATAATAACCCAGGAAGAATGGCAAGACAATTGGGTGAATCACAAAATCGGATTTCATCAAGCAGAAGGGCATCAGTAAGACATGTTTGGTCTATGAGAGAGACATGCTTTATCAGAAACTGACTTTGAAGTAGAAATAATAATGCAAGTGTATTTTATTTGATTTTTAAGATGCATGTTTTTTATTTTTTCATATTGTAGCATCTTGGAGATCAGAACGCATCCGTGCCATGTCAGAGTTTCACTGGCAGTGTGTTTTCTTCCCTCAGTGTATAAATAATTATGCGATTTCCAGTTTATAGATGTAAGACTTAGGAAATAGGTCTTTTTTTATTCATTTATTAATTTATTTATTTTTGGTACTGGGAATCGAACTCAGGACCTTACACTCACCAGGCAGGCTCGGTGCCACTGAGCTACATCCCTGGCCTGGAAATGCATCTCTTTAAAAAATCACCTGTAGCATCTGTATGTCAGTCATGCCTGTTTATATTGTATATACTGCAGATGCTAAAGCAACACTTCCGCTTCTTTGTTCTCAAAAGCAGTGGCATTCTGATGTTAAAGTGTCATCCAATAGTGAAGAAGAGGTAATGAGAGAAGTTCGCAAGTGAGCCAAGGTGCTGAGCAACATTTTAGTAGCATTGTTGTCTTTGTGGCAGCAGTGATAGGTCGTGTGGCCATGCTGAGTAATGTGGTCATTATATATGGTCCTTGTTCCAGGCAGACCCCGGACCGACCGCCCAGGAGACGCCATTATCATTGTCATTACCATCCTCACCGTCATTAGTGCATTTGCACATTGAGGGAAAGCTTAAAGCATCATTCCCAGTCATTGTTACAGATATCTGTCACTGGGAAGGCCCTAGAGGAGCCTCATCTCTAGAGAAGAAATTAACTACAAACGTTAAACTTATTTAATTTTCCATAAAGTAAATGAAAAATTCACGGCTCTAGAGGTTCCCTCTCCATAGCACGTAAAAAAATGTATAAAGTTGAAGATTAATATAGAATTTTTTAAACATATCAGACAAGGAAAAAGCAATTTTAAAAAGTTTTAATCACTAATCAGGGAAGCCCAGGACATGTCAGATTTGTCACTAGCTGCGTGACTGAGCCAGTTACTTAACTGTCCTATTTGTTTATATGTAAACTGGAGAGTATAATCATTACTTTATCTCCTAATTAAGGTTGGGAATATTGAGATAATGGATGAAAATCAGTGTTGTACTTTTGAATTGTACTCCTGTGCACCAGGCACCAACAACTTTTATTTTTCTCCCTAGGCTGTTAAAGAAGCATTTGGATAATTTTCTTAAAGGCGAGAGTGGACTGAGAGTGTTTTTTCCTCTTTGTGGAAAAGCAGTGGAGATGAAATGGTATGAACAAATAAGCATCGACACATTTGTCTTTGGTGATACATCCATTTGGGACAATATTTAAAAGGATGTAGGTTATAATTTCCATTGTCAAGAAATGGACAAGGATTCTTTAAGTAGATCCTTTTTCTTTTTTTTGTACCAGGGATCGAACTTGGGTCCTTGCACTTGCAGGGCAGGTAGTGAAACCACTGAACTAAATCCCCAGCCAAGTAGATCCTTATTGATAGTTAATATTAAGTGGGCTGGGGATTTAGCTCAGTGGTTCCACTGCCTGCCTCACAAGGTCCCAAGTTCAATCCCCAGTACCAAAAAAAAAGATAACCCTAACCCTAAGTAATCAGAGATAATATTTTCAAACAATAAGGAAAAGAGCAGATACAAGTATGACTTTGTTTCTTTTCTCCTGTGTTTTGAAAGAAAAGAACTAGTTTGGAATCAAATGGAAGAGAAAAGCCAGCCACCCTTCTTACATCTCCTGAATCTTTGTGCATGGTTTAATTATTGTAGATGGTTTAAGAATTTAGCAAAATATTTGAAATGGAGATAGACTGTGTAATTCAAAACACATTATAACTGGCCGGGAATTTAGCTCAGTGATTCTGCAGCCTGCCTCGCAAGCTCAAGGTCCCGAGTTCCATTCCCCACCCACCCCCACCCCCATACCCCCCCCCAGAAAAAACCACACAAATCACATTACAAATTTTTAGCAGGACAGTGTTTATTATAATCCTCTCAAGCTCAACTTTCCTTCCTCCTATGAAAAAATAGGAGTTTTTGTTACTATGAATAAATGTTATAAAATCAATAATGAAAAATATCCCTTTAAGTTATTCTCTGTAAAGAAAATTCATATTAATTAACAAGCCACTGTTACGATGGGTTACACTAAAGTCACAAACCTGGACATCATTTTCTATACTGAGCTGTGTAATGATAAGATAGAGACACAAACATACCTGCCAAGACACGCATTCATTTATAAGCCCAAATGTTGAGAATGTTGATCATTAAGCAGGAAAGAAAAAAAAGATGTATGAAAAAGATTAATAACTGCAAAAGATAATACAGTGACTTAAAAATGCTCTGTCCCTGCATAAATGTTAGTGATCTCCCCACAGAACATACATGCATTTGGAGTTGATTTTCCAGTGGATATGGTGAAATTGTTGTAGCCCACAGTCTCGCAACTTGTAGGTAAAAAACATGTTAAATAGCTGCTAATGGCTGATTCAGTTGAGGCCTTTACATTAAGAACACTGCAACTTTAGACCTATGTCTTAACCAAATTTCTAAACCAAAAGAGTTACTTTGGGAACTGCCTACAAGACAAAATATCATCTCCATAAACAGTTTCAATAATGGTACTGTCATAAGTGCTAACAGTGTAGCTCTAGGATTTAGGCAACACTGAGAAAAGAATATAAGGAAATAACCAGTGAAATGTGATTGTTGAATATTTTGTTTCTAAAATGTTAAAATATCAAAACAGCTACAGTAATTGCACATAAGTTACCAGGGAATTTTTCATTTATGTAATTAATTTATGGTCTATAGGGACATCATATGTGAATAGATAACTGATCATAAGCTAAGGCCAAAAGGCATTAAACTGAAATGATTTAGGTTTGGGTTTTTCCTTTTTTTTTTTTGACTCCAGACTATCTTAGGCTATGCTTCATTTTTCTGTATGTTGAATAGGAAGTAAAAACTCATGTGACCAATTCAAGTTTGTTTATATTTTGTAATTTCAGAAAAATGTATGGAGAATTTTAGAAATTCCCTGTATTTTATAAATTTTTAGAAAATATGAAAAACAAGTTAACACATTTCATTTTAGAACTATAAACAGTTCATGCTCTGCCCACAATAAAAGCATTTGCTCTGTGGATAATAGGTACAGCCAGTCTTTTCTTCAGAAAATGTGAATTTTGTTCGAACTAGATTGATATATTCGGAAACAATTTGAGTATCATACGAGTTTCAGATTTGCTAATTTGTGATTTCATTGGCAGGAAACATTAGGAAAGAGAAAACTGCCCAGCTGAACTAAGTTGTATATAAATACGAAACACACACACACACACATGCATGCAAACGCGTGTGCTCTGTGCTGAGCTTACCCGGGTACTGTGAGCCTCTCCCCCTACGGCTGGTGTCACACCTGTCCCTTTGACCTCCTATAACCTCCTTCCATCCCTTCACAATAATTCACAAACTGCAGCTCTCCCACCACCCACTTGCGCAAGTCAACTTTAGGTCTTTTTTCAAGAAAAAAGGCCATGTGGGAGTATTTATCTATTCCTTAGCCATTTTGTATGTGGGAAAACATTCCCATTAGGTTCTTGTCTTTATTCTTTGTGTCACTGACAAAATTTTGTATTGTTCCCTAACCCCTAGCTCCCCTGTCAGCCTTTGATTTCTTTGCACAATTTTGTCTAGCATAGTGATTTTTAGGGAAGCCTGTGTTGCATTATGGCAGAGCTATGTTTTCATGTACAGTAATTCAACATAAACTCATTATTATAACTAGGTATTTCTGCTGTTAATACTGTTTTCTCCTAAGTCTAAGATGGCAAAACTGTGATTTCTGTGATAACAGAGCTCACCAGAAAAATATTAATTATTTGCATGTGGTAACCAAATAAGTTTTTGGATAATGTGTATTGTAAGTAAATAGAAATTATGAGATTATTATTATAGAAATGGATGCTAATTTTTCTAGAGCTGTGTGTTCTGATACAGTGGCTACTAGCCACATGGTGCTATGTAAACTTAAACCAAATAAAGTTTAAAATTCAGTTCCTCAGTCAGATTAGCCACATCTCAAGTGCCCAGTAGCCAGAATGAGTAGTGGCTGTTGAATTGGACAACACAGACATAGGCCTTCCTGTCATCCCTGAAAATGTTATGGGCAGTGACAAATTAGGGAATTTGAAATGCATTTCCTCTAGTCAAGTACATTTATATTAAATCGGTATTTTAAGATGGAATTTTTCAAATTTTAAGTTCTTATAAATCACTCTTTCAGAATCACATATAACAAGAGGTTCAAGAATATATAGGCCCACTACCTACACTACCTGTGAAAAACCTCATGAATCTGAAATCATATGAATCCTTAAAGAAACTATGTACGTATTGAGGCACACTCCTTTATTTAGTACTATATTTGAAATAAACACTAAAGTGTAAATATATGATTTTATGCAGGTTTGCTGATCTAGGACACAGTGTAATTGGTGTAGAAATCAGTGAACTTGGGATACGAGAATTTTTTATGGAGCAGAATCTTTCTTACTCAGAAGAACCAATCACTGAACTTCCTGGTGCAAAAGTATTTAAGGTTAGTTTTGATTTTGGTTAAAAAAAGAACATGTTCGTACCGTCTCAAAGAAGGTTTTTCTGAACACAAGTAAATGAGGACGCAAGCATTAAGTGGTTCCTCTTCCACCCATAGGTATGTTCAGACATGTACTATAAAGAGCTGGGGTTTAAAATATAGGTGACAAGCAAAGCCTAGCCAGTCAAAGCCTCTCTGTATTCCAGTTTGAGGGCTTTTTTTCCTTCTTGGTGGGGTTTTTGTTTGTGGGATTATTTTTTGCAATACTAGGGATCCAACCCGCAGCCTCATGCCTGCTAGGCAAGTGCACTGCCACTGGGCTACGTCCCCAGTGCCCTCTCCTCCTTTTTTTAAGCTGCTTGATCAGTAAATTTACTGACTTTCTCTGGAAGTTATTGTTCACTTTAGCTCTTAGCAGGCTGTTTCTGAGCCTTGAGGAAGCTGGTCTCCTTTGGAGCTACCTGTTCTTTCTCCTACGCAAGGGATGTTTTGAGATAGTTCTGTTTCTTCTTTTTAACTTCTCTCTTGGACAGACTGGACTTCCTCGTATAGCAGCATGCACTGTCTTACACATTTCCTTCACACCTAAAGTGACATTGGGATTTATGCACCAAGAGAACGGTTTCTTGTGACCATCACCGTCTTCTCACTTCAGGTACCACGTACAGTCTGCAGTGTTCTGACCCACAATGTGCTTCCAGTGGACTTCTGCACCGAACTTGCTTTCGGAATGACAGCCAGGGAATTCCCTGATGCTCTGAGCAGTAGACGAGCCTCCGTCCACAGCTCGCCGCAGGGCCCCAAAACTTACTGCCAGTTGTAGTCCTGACAAGGCCTGCATCCACCTAGCAGGTGAAGCCACTGGGTTGACTATCAATGCTTTCTACATTGTATTCATGTCTGGTCACCTCCACTCGGCCTTCAGAGTTGTTGTCCATGCCATGCCATTGAGCCTGCGGGTGAGCAGTGGGCCATAGCATAATTTTCAGGCCAACTTTCTTAACATATTTTGGTAGTGCCTCGGCATATGCTGTGTGGACTATCATATCCCTTCTACACAGGCATAAGCAATCTGACAGGTACTGTCTGTTACACGAACTCTCATCCTGTATTTGGGCATGTTGTACTTATGTTTGTCCTAAATTGCCATGCGTTTCTGAGCGCAGTAATCACTTTTCCCCTTGTCTCCTGCAAAATTTCACTTGGTATCTCCTAAAGTAGGCCCTGTTCTGAAAACTAACAAATCCCATTCTGCAGAGCAGAGACCCATGTCTGACTCAACATAGACTTTCGGGCCCAGCAACACTACTGTTTTTCCTTAACAAGCATTTTCTGAGAACCTATTAGGTGCCAGATCCAGTGGAAGATATTGAAGAAATAAAAGATAATACAGTCCCACCGGGGATTTAGCTCAGTGGCACTGCGCCTGCCCAGCAATCGCAAGGGCCGAAGTTCGATCCCAGGTACCAAAAAAGAAAAAAAAAGATAATAAACTCCCTACCCTACAGAATCTCTTAACTTAGCGGGAAAGAAGAACAGGGACAAAGTCATTATAATACATGGAGCAGTATAATGACAGAAAGGATTAAGCAATGGCGCGGAGTGACTCAGCCCGGCCCGGACTGACGCATGGTAACTGACGATGCGGGGCGGGGGGCACCAGCAGGGCTCCAAGCTGTGCTAGGAGCTGCCCTGGGAAAATAGTGCATCATTCTTTACAGGAGGATTTTAAGGAGGAGCATGACACGGCTGGATTTTCTTTGGAGATAAATCACCTTATGACTTCATAGGAAGTTACTTGAAGGGAAGTAGCTTCCTGGCAGAGAGATGAAATAGAAGGGTGTGGACCATGGTCCCGGAATAAAACCATGAAGACCTGAATGGGGAGAGAGAGTGGTGGGGCACAGAGAGCACGAAGGCCGGGTTACAGTTGTGCTCACAGTGCCCAGCTGGCAGGGTCTGGTAATTAAGCAGGGACGAAGCGGGTGAGGAGTTCCCATGTCCAGCTCACATAACTGGCCCCCAGTGGGACCGCTTATGAGAAAAAGAAGCACGTTGAAGCTGAGCATGATGGTGCACGCTGGTAAACCCAACACTTGGGAGGCCAAAGCCAGAAGAACGTGAGTTCAAGGCCAGCCTGGGCTACGTAGTGAATTAGTGAGACTCTCTCTCAAAACACCCCCTCAAAAAAAAAAAAAAGAAAAGAGAAGAAAAAACTTTTGTTCTGGAGCTGATGAATTTAAGAACCTAAGAAATTTCAAAGGAAGGTGGTGTTTGGGCTGGAAATGACAGTTTTGGGAGTTATCTTCGTCCCGTGACCACTGTGATCCAGAAAAATTCCTTCGCTAGCTTGGGGTAATAATACGGAGGCAGATACTTCCCAGGAGAGAACACGCGGAGGCTGTGTGTCAGCCAGCCACTTTGGTTTGGCAGAGACAGAGGCAGGGAGAGCAACTAGAAAGCTTTATCATGGAGAAAGGGGCAGGGTGTGCTGCAGGTGTGCTGACCAGGCTGGGAGCAGCTGGAAGGGGGCCTCTCGGTGTGGGGAGCGGACTTGGCTTTCTCTGGTTGGTCTGAGTTGGAAAGCAGGCGGGGATGGTAGATTTCAGGGAACTGACCGGGTGGCTGCAGAGCTGTGGTTGTTTCTAGGCTGGTTGCTACAGAGGTGGTAGGTCAGTGTTCTCTTGTCCTAAATGGCCTGTCTGTGCATTTAGTCCCTCACAAAGACTCCTTTCTAAGCATTGAAACTAATAGTTTAGATCAGTAGGAGGCTTGATCGAACTTTATTTATAGCTTCCCCCCATCCCGTTCTCAAATCATGTGAGAATAATTCTAGTTGATTCAGTCCAAAGAGGCCAGGCCTGCTTCCAAACTCCTCTGGGGGCAGTGGTTCCCAGCCCTAGATTCACATTTAAAATCATCCATGGTTCTTTTCAAACTCCCCAGAGACAGGGTCTCACCCAGGTCAGTTAAATCGGAATCTTCTAGGAGTGGGGTTCCTGAAAGCTGCCCAGGGATTCCAGGCTTCTCAAGTCTGCGCCATGTCACACACCGCCCCCCCAGCTCACCCCATCTTGAGCTCTTTGTTTCCTGAGTTGGTGCTTATAAATTGCTTATGGCGATTAGCTTTATTGCTAGTATTCAGAACCCTTAGGAAATGACTTTCTCAGAAGCGCCTTCCAGGTATAGCCTAGCTCTTGATTGAGTCTGTTGCAGGATCCTACCCTTTCGATTTAATGGGGGTGAGAGGTTTCTGCCTACTTGGCCCAGCTGCCACTTCTTTGGCACTGGCCTGTAGGTTTGTTTTCTGTTTTTTGTTTTTTTTAAGACCCTTAGGCACTCTCAGTCTTGGTATACCAGGAGGAACAGCTGACTAGCACAACTAAGTCACATGGGCTAAAGCAGTACAATCAACAATAACAGTAGCATCAAATACAGCCTAGAAAATGACAAATTGTCACTTTGACCTACAACCTTAATATGGCTTTTTTACCCTTAGGGGAGAAGATTTAAAAGGGACTGGGGGTACAAAGCAGAAATAGAAGAAGAGGAAGAGATCAGAAGCAAGGCTGGAGGACAAACTTTAGGAAACTGGTGAGGAAGACAGATGGGCAAAAATAAAAACAGGAACAGAACAGAAGAACCAGAAGAAACTAGAAACAATCAAGAAAAAGTAAACAAGACAAAACAAGAACTAGAAAGGAGGAAAAACAGAAAAAACAGAGAAAAAAGAGTTTTTAAAAAACCCCAAACATCCAACTCAAGGTATGTCTCTGCTGTCAGTTAGGCAGTGTGGACAAACAGAGTCCAGAGCCAGATCCATCAGTCCCAGCAAGCTAGCTGCAGCTTCATGGTGGGGCAGTGGATAATCCCAGCCAGCCTGCCCCTTTAGTTCCTCTGAAGGTCAGGCCAGTTTCTGGCTATGAAGTGGATTCTTTGAGCCTACAACACCCTTATTTCTCTTGCCGGCTTGAACTCAGCAACCGAACAGACGAGGCACAGGAAGCCACTAGATGGAGTCGGCCCACAGCTGTTCTGAGTTCCGAGCTCAGTTGGCCCCCCTCCAAGATGGCTACCAGCCAGTCACCCTCTCCTGGGTGAGGTCTGAACCCAGATGACTCACCAGCCGCTGCAGTCTGGTGCATCTACTGCCCTGTTCCACTGGTGCGATTCTCCTCGGAGGCCTCTGGGGCCATCAGTAGTCACTGTGGGTCTTCAGGTTTGGCCCAGATTCCCTCGTGGAGAGTCTGGGCTCTGGGAGAGAGCACTGCTTGGTACCTCTGTCTTCTTCATTAAAGTCTCTCTTCACTCTCCCTGTAGACTTCATTTCTCGCTTCAGATCCTTGCTGAGACCCACTTCCCTCTTCCTTCTGCTCCTCATGCTGCTATATTCCCCCATCTTGAGTTCTAGCAGATGAACCACAAGACATCAGAGGCCACTTCTGTCCACCTTTCCCGGCACTCCCAGGCCGTCCTCTGCTCCGTCTTCTGCATTCAGCTGTAACAGGACAAGCCGTTCTGCATGGACCCGGGCTGCTGCTCCACTGGGCTGTCCTCGCTGCTGTCAGAGACTTTGTGTCAAATTCATATCCATGATCTCAGACCCAGGCTCGCTGTCCTGTCCACTGTGTAGTGATGAGAGAAAAGGAAAGAATCAGCACAGTGGTGCTATTCCTAAATAACTTTTAGTGGGGGGAGGGGGGGTACAGGGATTGAACCCAGGGCCTTTGCACGGAGCTGCGTCCCCAGCCCTTTTCTTTGAGACAAGTTCTCTCTAAGTTTCTGAGTCACCCGGGCTGGGCTTAAACTTACCATCCTGCCTGAGCCTCGAAGAGTGCTGGGATTAAGGCTATGCACCACCACACCCAGCTTTCTCGGGTAACTTCAAAAATATCTGACCATCTATATTAACACAACTGGTAATTGATTACCTGTGGATTTATCTTCAGCAAAGTGAAAATATCATGACTCTGCTCAAGTAAAGATTGCTAGAATTTGAATAAGCTTCAAAACAAGTAATGGCTCATTGATCTTCAGAAATGCCCTCTCTGAATTTACGCTTTGCCTTGACCCTAAAGAACCTCATACAAGTTTTTTGTTTTGTTTTGATTTTGTAGTTTTGTTTTGTGGTACTGGGGCCGAACCGAGGGTCTTCACACTGAGCTACATCCCTAGCCCATTTTTGTTTGGAGACAAGGTTTCATTAAGTCACTAAATTACCCGAGCTGGGCTCAAACTTGCAATCCTCCTGCCTCAGCCTCCCTGAGTGCTTTAGAACCCCACACAAGCTTTAAAAGAAAAAGCAAAGTACTGTTAAACTGCAGTAAAATTCTTGTGTTCAATATGCACTCCATTCTCTCTACCACCTTTGCTTTCCTTGGCCATGCAAGTATCTCCTAATGAAGTGGAAACAGCCTTTTCATTGTCTCATTACAGAGTTCTTCAGGGAATATTTCACTGTACTGCTGCAGCATTTTCGATCTTCCCAGGTAGGACCAAGTCATGTATCCGCACTTTTAAAACTGTGGGTGCTTGTTAAGCGGGGCGAGGTGGGGGCCCTTCTGCATAGCGGCCAGGAAGCCCCGGTCAGAGTCTGTTCTGCAGGTCTTTTTCTTACAGCGGTGTTCCCAGTACACTTCACATGTTTGTCCATGGACAGCTCCAAAACCATGAGAAACATTGTTACAGCACAAGGAAAGAAGGGAAAGAGGGGGAGAGAAAGATGTGTCTCCTGCCATCACCGGGGCTATCACTAGATGAATCACAAGAGGTCGAGGGAGGCCTGACCTCCCCTCGCGAGAGTCCCTGCCGCTGAGCCACATCTTGTCCTTGTTTCTCCTTTCTGCTCCCAAATCCCAATAGAGTGTGAGGCAGCTGCTGCAGAGCCTAACCCTTGGAGCGGACAGGTCCGCCAGGCAGGCCAGTGCGTCCCTGCGGCAGACATTGGATCCTCATTCCTGAGAACTGGTGAAGTGCCCGCGTGTGCCATGGGGAGCACTGCTCAGCTCGTTCAAGATCTTATTTTTTGGTACATGAGATGTTGCAATTTTTTCTTTTTTTTCTTGTAGAGCAAATATCGGTAAATTTGACAGGATTTGGGATAGAGGAGCGTTAGTCGCTGTTAATCCAAGTGACCGTGGACGGTAAGTAATATGGTTTCTTTAATTGTGGTGATGGTGGTGTTTTTAGCTGAATTCGAGGAACGTATAGGACTTCTCTGTAGTGACCTGGGAATAAATCCTTGGCTCTGTCACTTCCGAGCTTTGCTGCCTCAGTCACATTATTTGACTTCTCTGAGCCTCAGTTTATTCTAACAGGCATGATTTGGATACCCAGTGTGGGTCAGCATTTTCAATCTGCCAAATAGTCCCGAGAGGCCTATGCTGTTGCCATCCCATTAGACAGATGCGGGAATGGGAATGAAGGTCAGAGGTTTCGTTCCTCATCCCGACAGAGTTAGGCAGCAGGTCTGTGACAGCCTGACTCAGACTCTGCACTCCCTCAGACCATCAAAGTGTTGGTGGGGGAATGAAAAGAAGAACTGAAAGGTGGCTTGTTAACGCCAGAGAACTATAAAACATGAGTCCCTATTACTACTAGAGCGTTTATTATTTGATGTTTTGAGTAGCTGTTCTTCTTAGATGTAATCTGACTAGAAAATAAAATTTGCTAAAGCATATGAGGAAAATGTGATCACAACTGTACCCAGCACCTTGCAATGCAAATAATCACACACACGTACTTGGATAAAGCACGCAAATGTCGAATTTCTTAGTGGTTTGGAGACACTTGATACATGGCCCAAAAGTTCAGGCTCCATGCCCATGAAATAAAATTTTCATTTTTAAAAATTAATTACTTCATGAGTAAGGTTTATTTTGAAATTGAATATTAATTAGAACAGGTGATACCATAGGGACTGGGGATTTAGCTCAGTGGTTTCATCACCTGCTGTGCAAGCGCAAAGACCCGAGTTCAATCCCCGGTACCAAAAAAAAAAAAAAAGAAGAAGAGGTGATACCAGAAAGGGATGCATTTTCCTCCAAAGATGATTTTTGCTCCCGTTTTCCCTTCTCTTTCTGCCATCGCTCTTCATCTGTTTTCAGTCACCTTCCACAAATCCCAGGAGGTCTTCATTCCCTACCAGGTAAACTGTCCTCTACCTCCCATGCTGGGGATCAAACCCAGGTCCTTGCACCTGCTCGGCAAGCACTCTACCACTGAGCCATGCCCCAGCCCTGCTTTTCTCTCTTATATTTGCTCCTTAATGATCACTCTGTTACTCTCATTCAGTTATTCAACAAATATTTATTAAGTTCCTACTATGTTTATGTTCCAAATATATACTGTGTCAGGTGTTGGGGAAATAATTGAAGAAATTGTATACGAGTTTGCCCTTTTTAATTTTTATATTTCCAGCTCTGTTCTTGCTCCCAGCCGTTCTTACCATACGTGCTGTGTCTGCATCTCCCATGTGTCACCAGTGTCCTTTATCAGCCCCCAGACCTCTTCATCTCCGTAAACACCGCATTTCTAAACACACTTGGGGACGGAACCAGAGCCTCACGCGTGCTAAGCAGGTGTCTTCCTGAGCCGCTCCCCAGCCCAGGGAAGCGCCGTGTTTGTATACAGAACTGTTTCGCTCCATGTCTACAGCTGTAGGTCTTCCTCTCTTGTGGAGAATGTGTCTGCTCTCTGAGGCTGGTCCTTCTGAGGACCTTGGTTTACCTGATAAAATCCCCAAGGCAGCATGGACCAGACTGGACGCCATCAAGGGCAGACCAAGGGTGACCGTTACACCACGTGCCACTGTGTCCCCAGTATTTAGCGTGGCCCGTGTTTAGCAGAGGAAGAGCTTAGTAAATATTTTTTGAATAAGTGAGAACAAACCCTACACAGAGCGTGGGAAATACACTGTTTCCTGCCAGGCACCCCCACCGTTATCTGTCCTTCGATCTAAAGTCCATCCGAGTGGACTTTGAGTGCTTCAAGCCTGGTCAGCAAGGAGCCAGAGGCCCCACCTGGCGATCTAATTGGGAAACCAGCTCTGCGTGGTCAGAGTCTGTGACCCCTGAGTGCACCCAGCCAGGTATGTGTGTGTGTGGTCATAGGTGTGAGTATTCCTGGGATCATGCTGGTCTTTGTTACCTGAATAATTACTGACTTTGAACCAGTAGAAAGAAAAAATTACTTTATCTTTGCGCTGACACTTGGTAGGTTCCTGGTTTGTCTCAGTGCTGTCATCGGTACTGCCTCAGTATCCAGCATCTTGGGCTAGTGTTGTCCACTGTCAGGGGCTGATGTATTCTCAGCTGTGACTCACGTCTCTCTCCTAAAGGAAATCAGTGGTACACACCTTTCTCACTCTTCTGAATTGTGTGTGTGTGTATGTGTGGAAATTGAGCCCAGGGATCCCTAAGCTACATCCCCAGCCCTTTTTGCCTCGAGGCTGGGCCCAGGCTGACCTCAAACTTGCTATCCTCCAGCTTCACCCTCCTTGCGAAGCTGGGATTACAGGTGAGCACCACCGCACTTGGCAGTTTTTCTGAATTTCTGATGGATTGCAAGGCCCCATTTCGAGAGGAATGAAGCATTTCAACTGGGGAAACACGACCAAGGCAATCTGACTGTTCCCTTCCTCAGAGACAAGTTTCTTCCTTCCTCCTCTTAAGAGCAAGAAGCAGAAAGTTAAAATATGAAGGATTCATCTTGCAAGTTTGCATTGGTCTGGCTCTTTTGCTTCCCAGGAAAAGAGATCCACTTGAATTCACTCTGAATTCGAGGAGTTTATGTAGAAGATGCGAAAGGGGATAACAACAGCGAAACCCTGAGTGCTTGCCCTGAACCAAGCAGTGTTCTAAGCGCTTTGTGTGTCAAGTCACTGAATGCTCACAGCAGCCTGTGAGCTGGTGACTGGCCTCACCCACCTCACGGTCCTGGGCTGGCAGGGCCTGTTAGGGTCAAGTCCCTCCCGTGAACCACGACATGGCCGGGAAGTAGTGTCCCCTGCTGCCTGAGACTGCCATGAAGAATTACTCCAACAAGTCACGGTTTATGCCATGCCTGGAGAACTTTAATCTCAGACCACCTTGAACTTTGACCCGCATGGTAGTCTTGTCTGTCCAGCTAACTGGAGGAGAGAGTTGTGCTCCATACCTTATGCCTTGGACCCCGGAGAGCTTCCAGCACTGTGAGACTAAGACATTCCAGGCCCCAGCAGACCTACCGAGCCAGTGTGGAGGTTGGAGCTCAAGCCTCTTCCTCCAGCGAGTGCCTGGTGATTCTTGTACCCAGCCATGCCTCGGAGCCACTGCCCCCAAGCACACAGATGCACGGTGGTGCCCCAGGAAGTACAAGTCTGAGGTCGGCGGCCCCTGACTACCGCAGCCAGCTGGAAAGAGCCTGTCTTCCTGTGATGTCTTCAAGTCCTACGAGCCCCAAGAACAGGCTTCCACTTGGCTCCCCCTTTACCAAATTGCCAGCCTTGGCTTTTAAAACAGGAGTCAACTTCATGCGATTGTTAGCATTAAACTCAGTACAGTAGTGCTTCAGTTCACAAACTTAATTTGGTCCACAATTCTGGGAAAGAGGCTGCATTTGTGTTCACGCGGGAAAGATGGCCGCAGTCGTGTTCCTCTCCTGCTACGGAGTTTGCAAACGAAAACAAAATTTTCCCAAATGCTTCTGCTTGTGAACCACAGTGTTCACAAACAAAAGGGTTCGTGAACCAAGATACCACTTTAGTGCTGAAGAAAGGAAATGCTGGCTCCCTTGCCTTCTCAGCCCCTCCAGCCTCTGCCTATACAGAGAAATGTAATATATACCTTTCTGTGTTCTTTTTAGCTACACAGATATAATGCTGTCCCTACTGAGAAAAGGGTTTCTCTACCTTGTGTCCATTTTCTCTTACGATCCAACAAAATTTGAAGGTAAAGCTGCTTATTTTTCTTCCTGCTTTTTTCTGTTTTCCTCTGTCCTAATTTGATTCCCCAACATGGGTAAAAATTCTTTTATCCTGATTTATCTCATAGGAAACATAGTATTAATGTACTTGTACACCAAGATACTTCTATGGTGGGCAAATGGGAACTATAGACATTTTTATGCACACACAAAGATACCCTCGGAGGATGAAGGATGGAGGGAACTGGCAGGAACATCTCTACACTGCTGTTTTGTACTTTCTGAAATTTTATACTTTACTCATTGCATTCCATTTGGACTCTTTGCTCTGAATGTGAAAGGGATGTTTTCTTCTGGATTTGTTTGGTTGAATTTGGACAATGACCCCTTTTTTTTTTTTTTTTTTCACTTTGTCCAGGAGTGGAGCCCAGGGCCCTACACTGTACCATTGAGCTATGCCCCAAGATCTGGCCACTGAAACTTAGCATTTGTCATGGCTGGACTTTTATTTTCAGGGAGAAATAACAAACTAAATACTAGACTTTTAATTTGTAGAATCTCCTAATTTGATTTTAATTCAGCTTTTATAAAGTGCTTTAAAATTTACACGTTAGTCTTTTTTTTTTTTTTTCCTGTTTGAATAAATCTAGTTTTAAAAAGCTCATTAAAAAATGAGACCTAGGGGCTGGGGATTTAGCTCAGTGGTGCCACACCTGCCTTGCAAGCACAAGGTCCTGAGTTTGATCCTCAGGACCGAAAAAAAGAAATAGATACAAATGAGACCTAGTGTCCCTAATTAATGGACATGGAGGCAGAAGTTAGCTCCACTGATCTGACTTAAATTCCATGCATGGACAGGAGGCCTGGGAAGGAAGATACAGCAGGCTGTGACTGGGGTGGAGACTCAGAACTCTGCTGTCTCCAAAGGCCAGAGGGAAGGTTCCTCCTAAGTCCAGGGCCCAGGGCAGAGTGGGAGGAGTGCACAGAATTGGGTAAGAAGTGCTAGAGGGAGAAAAGCAGGGCCCCTGAGAGAGGAAACCCCAGAGGAATTCGCTAGTGGACCCCACTGATTTCAATGTCCTAAGTCCCCGGGCTGGCTTAGCCAGTAGTTCCATCTGCAGATGGGTCTGCTACTGTCCCCTCAATAAGCCAGTTTACTTCTTTGGTGTGAGATATATGAGAGAGAGAGAGACTATCAAACCCCAGGCATGGTGCACACACCTGTAGTCCCAGCACTTGGGAGGCTGAGGCAAGGAGATTGCCACAAATTCAAGGCCAGCCTGAACTACATGGTGAGAGCCTGTCTCAAAAAACCAGTTCTCCCCACCAAAATCAGAAGAACATGCTCCATCCTCACCTGTTTGGATGATAAATTGTATATAGAATAAGTACACCTAGATCACTGGGGATTGTGGAAAGCCGGGCCCAAAGGGTTTATTTCTCTTTAGAACTAAAGTTGTAGAAATTAGTCTTAACTACATTTCTGTTATTCCTAGGCCCACCATTTTATGTTCCAGATTCTGAAGTCCAAACACTCTTTGGTAAGTTCTGCTCTGACTTCTCCAGTAAAGTCAACAGTGAAGTGTTCCGAGCTGTTAGTGGCTATTAGTGTAAATAATTAACGTGTATGCAGTTTAAAAGATAGAGCTATTTTATTGAAGACCACTTTTATCTAGAAAAGGGACCAGTCTCTGTAATAATGCCTTTTTGGGTGAACATTTTCTGATAAAGACATTTGGACTTTTCCAGAGAGGCAGTACATTCATTTTTGCACTTGGGAGTTAGAAGTGATAGTAATAATTAAGAGTTCAGAAAATTTGGGCTTAGCACTTCTTCGTTTTCATTGAAAAAAAGAGCAAAGTCTTTAGTGCATGCTGTTTTTAAAATCATCTGAAGTAGTTTTAGAACATTTGTCACAATGTTCTAACCTGTTGTCTTTTCCTTTTGTTTTAGGTACAAAGTGCAATATCCATTGCCTTGAAAAGGTCGATGCTATTGAAAAACGAAAGAATGCGGGAACTGACTACTTTTTTGAAAAATTATATCTACTTACAGAAAGGTAGATGACGTATCAATAACGTCAAGTAACATCAATATGTTTTTAAGCTTTTGAGCAATTGAAAATTATGCTAAGGGTTGAAAATACAATGGATGATTTTTTTTTGAAGAGGGAAAGGTTTATTTGGCTTATAGTTCATAGAGGCCTCGGTCCACAGTTGGCTTCCGCCAAAGCAGGGTGGCAGAGGGGCAACAGTTCATGGCAAGAGAAGACAGCAGGAGAGGATGATTTTTTTTTTTTTTAAGTTCTTTCACATCATGAAAATCTTTGCTCAAAAATATGTATAACTTTTTAGAAGAAAACACATACTAACATGTTAAAGTAGATCTTTGGAGAGAATTGTGTGGTTGTATCTTACAAATTGAAAGAAATTTTTATAGTTCCCATGTTTCTTATATAATTAAAATAAAAGAAAAATGAAATGCATATAACCTTAAAGACATAGACAAAACAAAAACTGATCTTTATATAAAATTTAGAATCATTGAAAATATATAACACTTTAATAGGTTCGAGGTAGCCCAAAAAATTATTTAAAGGATTAGCTTTTACTATAGACCTTCATCCTATACTCAAATCCTAGCACCTGTGTTCATGTTTTCTCCATATATAATTTTATATGTGACTAGATAAATAGATAAAAATTGTAATTAAACTAGCCTGTATAGCACAAAATATTTTTCCCAAACTGTAAGAATAAAGTTTTTCCAAGTTTAGCAGTTTTTCGGTTTCTTTTAATTTAATCTTGTTTTTGTTTTGTTTTGGTACCAGAGATCGAACTCGGGACCTTGGGCTTGCGAGGCAGGTGGCCGAACCACTGAGCTAAATCCCCGGCCCTACCTTGTTTTCATGAGCAACTGTTTTGAAGTATAATATGCTCGGGGCTGGATTCAAGTCTGTTCATTAAACAGTCAGATTTTGTGAAAAAAAGACATTCCTCTCTAACACTGCATTGCCTAAGATCTATGTGGATTATATTATTTAGCTCACATCATTAGGATGATGTGTATTTTAAAAATAAGTTCGTGCAAAAAACACAAAAAAACCTGTATAATGTTGTAGCATATATTTTAAGCAAGAGTACTGGTAGGACTGTGTAATGAATATTACCAATTTGTATTGTAAGATAATCCTTGGAAGTGCACGCATACATACAGTCGATATTTTACTTTATTATAAATCGTTTAAGTGTAGAATATATAGGATAAAGAATAAGTGTACTTTAAGTCATAATCTCACTCATTTGATTTATGCTTATTTTTAATAGTACAAATGGAGGGCCAGGGATTTCGCTCAGTGGTTTCGCCACCTGCTGCGTAAGCGCAAGGACCCGAGTTCGATCCCCGCTACCAAAAAAGCAAAACAAAACAAAAAAAATGGAACAAAATACATACTCATCTTCAAAATTTAAATGATAGTATAGAGCAGAAGTTGTCTTTGAATTTCCCTTCCTCACCCTGCTTCCAAGTCCAGTCTGGACTCAAACTTGTGATCCTCCTGCCTCAGCCTCCCAGAGTACCAGGATTACAGAAATGTGCTAATGTCCCTGGCCAGTTGGTGAATCTTTCGAATTTGGAGTGGACAGGGAAGCATTCATACAAAAATCCCCCCCCCCTTTTTTTTTTTAAAGTATTTTGGTGCCTGCCTGAGTCCCTGACAGGGTGGGTCCTGACCTTGTGGGGGTCACAGGGCGTGGAAACAAAGGGGTGTGTGACAGGGACAGGTCACAAAGGCAGGAGAGGATAAATACAGCTGTGCAGTGCCACAGACCAAGGTGTTTGCAGCTTTTTCTCCAACTCAAGACTGTAGCCTCCTGGAGAGAGAAACATTATCTCGACTGGAAATGAGGCATGCTGATCCAGAAGAAAACCTCCTGGAGGTATTTTTTCATCTCTGAAGAGAGTCCGTCAGAGGTCCAGACACCCTCCCCGGGCCCTGGTCAGTGCTCCCTGCTGTCACCCGCACCCCCCGCCTGCCCTCCCGGGGCTCTGACGCCGGGAGGGGCCTGGGGGCTGTGCTGGGCTGGGGAGGAGAGGCCTGCTGTAGTCACCTTCGGGACGCAGGATCACCAGGGACCCTTTATCTGCCCAGGACACTGAGGCAGAGGACGCAGGGCCCCCTGGCCGGCGCCCCTGCCGTGACAGGAGATGGCCACGAACGGTGAGTCTCCGTTACCCTGCTACGCAGCCAAGAGCGGCCCTGCGGCCAGCATCTTCGGTACCAGCATCGGGAAGCTGCAGCGGCAGCTGCACGAGGGCGAGTACTACATGTTCAGGTCCACCCCTATGTTCGAGAGCGACTTCGTCCAGATCACCAAGAGCGGGGAGCCCATAGATGTGCACAACCACAGGGACTTGGTGACCGTGGCCGTGGCCTGCACCAGCCCCATCCTCCCGATCCCGATCCCGATCCCCAGCGTCATGCTCCTGGCCCGGGAGGCCACCAGCTGTGAACAGTGCCACAGCCAGGCCCCCAAGAGGAAAAAATGCAAGGCGGAGGAGCCCCTGGAGCTCACCAGGCTCCTCCCCTTGAAGTTTGTTAAGATCTCCGTTCATGACCTCGAGAAACAGCAGCTTCGCCTGAAGTTCGCCACGGGCTGCTCTTTCTACCTGCAGCTGTGTCGCCCCCTGGATGCGTGTGAAGACCTCTTCACCTACTGGGAGAGCCTCATTGACCTCCTGCAGCCGCCCTTTGAAAGTATCAGTGGCACCTACGCCACCCCGGCCGAGGACATTCTCTGCCTGCCTGCGCTGGCCGACGCTGACAGGGCCAGCCTGGCCTCCTGGTACACCTACAGCAGAGACTCCTGGGACCAGGTCAGCATCCGGAGTGTCCATTCGGACCCCGAGCTGACCGGAACCACCTTGGACGACCAAGGCAGAGACTCCTGGGACCAGGTCAGCATCCGGAGTATCCATTCGGACCCCAAGCTGACCGGAACCACCTTGGACAACCAAGGCAGAGACTCCTGGGACCACGTCAGCATCCCGTCTATCTACGAGGTCCCCAAGGTGCCCGGGGCCACCTCCCCTGCTTATGCCAGTGGGGAGGGAGACCAGCCCAGCTCTCGTACATCCACCGCCACTCCCAAAGTATGCACCCCAGAAACAAGATCCGCGGGGTCTGCCGAAGCGTCAGCACCAGGGACAAAAAGAGAGGCGGCGGCAGCTGGGGTGGCATCAGGCATGCCAAGTGTGGAAGCTGCCCAAGTGAACACAGCCCTGGCCGAGGCCACCTTTATAGGGGAAGGAGGAAGCAAAAGCCCCGTGGCAGGCATTGGCAAGACATCCCCAAGGAGCATGAGTGTCGCCTTGGCCGGCGCTGGCCAGTTCTCGGAGCCCGTGTCCAGCACAGCCAGCTGCTTCTCCCCAGGGGACAAGGCGAGTGCCTCGTCTGAGGGAGGAGAAGCCAGCCCCAAGGAGGCCGGGGAAGCAGCCAACGCCCCGGCCGTGGGCGTGAGGGTGCGTGAAGGCCCCGGGGGTGCAGAGGCCGGACAGCAGGGCAGCCCCCGGGCCAGCAGGGCCTCCCGCAAAGAGCACAGGGAAAGACGCGAAGGTCGCCACAAGACAGAGCGGGACAAGATGGCCCAGAAGTCGTCCAGCCGGTCCTTATCGGGCCACAGGACGCACAGAGTCAATAAAAATGAAGAAGGCGGCCACCGCAGAGCCAAGAGCAGCAGGGACGGCCACAGCCCCAAGGGCATCAGCCACACCCGCCTTGAGAAGAAGCCCAGGAGCTCGAACAAATCCAGGAGGAACAAATCCAGGAGGAGGAGCTCATCTGCTGAGAGCTCGGAGTCCACGCCCAGGAGACTCAGCAGGTTCAGCTCTTTCCTAAGGAAGATCAGGGCCAAGCTCGGCGTGAAGGGGGTGGCCTCACTGCATGGTGGCGACGTGGACACGGTGCCCAGGAGGGTGGAAGAGACCGACCTGGAGGCCATGGTGGAGATGGCAGAGTGTGGCCAGGGAGTAGAAGTCGGTTCTGTGACATCTGAGGTCATGAAAACGATGACCTTAAGAAGCCCATGAAACAGCACCCAGAGCCAGAAGCCGCAAAGGGCCCCAGGAGCACCCCAACAGAGCCTACTCTACTCTTCTTACTTTGGGTGAAATAAAAAGCTATTCAACCCGAGAACGGTTTGCCAGGGTCTGTCTGAGCGTGAGTCCATCAGCTCAGTGGCGACCTCACAGAGGACTCTGTGACATCAACTGCACTGCAGGCTGAGGCCCCCAGAGCCAGTCAAGGGGACCCCTCACCCCTGCTCAGCAGAGCTGAGGTGACTGCTCCTCTTGCCTGGAACCTTCCTGGCTTTGGTGACCCTGGGCTCTGGCTGGGAGGCACGGTTCTACCTCCCTGGTTTCCCACCCTTTTGATAAACTTTTCTGGAGAACAGGGCCACTCAGAGGTCAGGAAGGGGAGCAGCAGCAGCGCTGGCAAGCAGAACCGGGAGGTCACGGTCTGACTGAGCCACTCCACTCCTCGGCATACACCCCCCAGAGAAACACACGCATGTCCTAGGAGATGGGTGTGAGAATGTTCATAGCAAAACACTGGAGACAGACCAGGTCCTACCTCAGAGCCGACATGACATGACAGAGAGGTTGGGGAGGTGCTCACGGGGACGAGTGGGGGGCAGTGACACGCTCACAGAGATACAGGTGTGCATCATAATATATCACAGGATAGAATTCCACGAGGCCAAATACCAGATTGCATACATGTTTGGTAAACCTGGAGTCAAAAACCAAGGCGTGGCGAGTACTGGATTCGGACCAGTGGCTTTCTCTAAGGTGGAGAAGCCAGTGGTGGGAACGAGGAGGTGGAAGCAAAACACCTGGTGGCGTTGGGAATTCATTTCTTAAGCAAGGAGGCAGGCGGGGCCGAGCGTTTATTATTGTTTCACCGTTGCACACTCTCACATCTCTGAAATCAGCCTGGCCCTACAGCCACGGTGACAGATGTGAGGAAGTCGCTGTTGCCCCAGACAGGCCTTACCCGATCCCTTTCCCTTCTGTGTGTGCACAAAGTGACGCGGAAGCCTCCTCTGTTAAGGCTCAGATTTTAAATGACACGTCCACGAAGCCACAGTTGGCTACTAGGACAGGAAGGGATGGGCACCCTATTTTACAGATGAGGACACTGGGCTCAAGACGGTAGCTGCCCCTGGCCCTGTGGGGCCTTTCCAAAGCATTGTTACGCCGCTCACTTCTTACACAGAGTCTGGGGCTTGGGGCGAAGGCAAAGTGAACAGGTGCAGAGAGACAGCAGCGCCAGAAACTTCGATGTCTCCTTCCCTGGAGCTACAGGGGGTAGTGGGGGTGGGGCTGTCCTGTCATAAAGGGAACAAGAAGTGGGAACAGAAAGGAGGTGTTTTGTTGTAATGCAGATGGTTAAAACGAAGAGCAGAGCAAGAGAGGAAAGAAAGAGATGGGGCTTACTGACTGGGAGGTGTGAATACTGACTGGCTGCTCCCCACAAATCTCCTTTGCCTGGAGGGCTCCCCCACCCTCACCCCAGGTCAGCTTGGCCTCCTCCAGCTCTCACAAGCTAAGCAGGGAAAGGCAGGAGTTGGAGAACAGGCCCTTCGAGGAGCCCCGGAGACCTTCAGGCTTCCTGATGTGGCTGCTTCCGGGTTGTGTGACAGAGAGATGACGATCACTGAACCTGTCCCCACACTTTGCAGATGAGGGGTCACCTGCAGGGAGGGCCAGGGGCTTGCCCAAGGCTGCACATGGAGCGACCGGCAGGTCTGACTTTGGCTCAGGTGGAAGTCATGCAACACAGAGAGGAGTCTGGGGAGGGAACTGCTCAGCCGTCGTCTAACTGCAGCACGAGGCCGACCAGCTGCGCCTGGGAGAGTGCACTCAGAGCCCTGGCAGCGGCCTGCGTGGCAGATGTGCAGTGAGGCCTTGGGGATGTGGGCGTTTGGGTGCTGCTCTTTCAGCTCTGGCCCTTCCTGGCTGTGCAGGGGCTCTGGCTCTCAGCGCCGTCCTGCAGAACTGTGCCCTTGAGGTTCACAGACCCCAAGCTGACCTAAATTCCAGCTGTCCGCCCTGTCTGCTGTCCTCTGTCCCCACTGTCACTGCTGTTCTGCTGTGCCGCCCCCACACACTGCACAGCCAAGCCCATGTCCACGCCTGCTGGCCTCAAGGGTCTGATTTCCCTTCCGCCCTGAGCAGGTTGACCTCATAGAATCCCCTGGCCACCCATCATCATCCAGCGCCCATTTCCTTCCCTGTGCTCTGTGCCATCAAGGCCGTGGAGTCCCTGCAGGCGCTCTAGCTTGGCAGGCTAGGGTGGGGAGAATCTATGGGGGATGGAGTGAGGACTGTGCCCTGGAGGTGACAGGACCCGCCCCAGCCACTGGCTCAGTGCCGGGGCTGGGGAGGGAACTGGGTGTCAGTGACCGTCAGTCTCTGGCCTAAGATCTAGGCTTCACTGCCCCCGCCTTCCGGGAACTGCCCACCTGGAAGTGGTCAGTAAATTCCCCTCACTCAATCTAATGGGTGCATCTCCGGCTTTATCTCCTCTTACTTCCAGCAGCCTGTGACACTGGCTTGGGGGGGGTCTTCCTCTTTACCTCCTGCTTCTTGTCAGGGTAAAGGGGCACCTCTCCTTGCAGCCTTGGTCACTAGCCTTGTCTGGGACCCACCTGCCCCTCCACACACACACAACCCCACCTCTTCCTGAGGTCCACCCTCTAAGTCCGGACCGCGCAGCATTTCTGGGAGAGCACCTCACCGTGTGTCCACCCTTCTCCTGGCCTCAGCGTCTTACCTTCAAACAGGCATCTGTTTTCACCTGTTTCATACAGGGTGCAGCATCCAGCTGCTGAGAGACCGCCTTAATCATCAGTCTCCAAGATAATCTACGAGTCCCGTCAGCTGTCTGCTCAATATTCCCCAGAACCACCCACTTAGCAATTCCGATATGCGAATTGCTTTACCTGTCACCAAGAACTTTATTCAAAGCTGGGCATGGTGGTACATGCCTGTAATCCCAGCTACTCTGGAGGCAGAGGCCAGAGCACTGCAATTTTGAGCCCAGTCTGGGCAATTTATTGAAAATTGTCTCAAAGTTTTGTTTTTAGGGGGTTTTTGGGGACCTGGGATCGAACTCAGGACCTTGAGCTTGCAAGGCAGGTGGTGAAACCACTGAGCTAAATCCCTGGCCCATCGAAATAAAGTTTTAAAGAAGGGCCGGGGGTATAGCTCAGGGGTAGACTGCTTGCCTAGCATGTTCAGGCCCTGAGTTCTACCTGCGGTGCCCCAAAATTATTCGAATTAGTTGGGGACTTTCTTCCTGGCTGTTGTGTTTTCATTTAGGTTGGGCTTGAAGTTCAGCAAGGCCAAACTGCCTCCACTCCGACAGTAAAGCAGTACAGTGGGAGGGTGGCCCAGGCTGCTGGGAGTCAAGGGCCCTTCAAGGTCACTGAAGAAGGGACAGGAGTTCTGAAAACCAAAGGCTCACCGAGCTGTCTCTACTCTGAATAGCTGTCTCTACTCTGAATTCTATATAAACCCAAGAGACAATTCTATTTGGCCGGGAGGGACGAGGGACACGGACAGGTCACTGAGGGCTGGATTTGCCTGGCTTGGAGTCGCTCTGCTGCTCCACGGGCCTTTGGCTGAAGCCTCAGAGAGTCATCCGTCTGTCTGTCTGCCCTGGCGGGAGGGCGGCCCTGTGAAGGGTCCCTTAGCATAGAAAGTGGCAGGGTGGGAGGAAGCCCTCCCCTCTCACCCACAGCCCCACACCACTTCCTGTCCAAAGTCCACCCTGTATTGCACCAGCCCAGCCCTGAAGCTTGGAGTTTCCGGCACTGAATCAGGGCGTTCGTTCAGAAGGATGACTCTAAGGGACAGGAAACTGAGAGACCCAAAAGCCCCTCTCTTCTTACCCAGCAGTGCTAGATTCGCCATTTACTGACAGGAGGCTGTGGGCTTTGACCCAGCACGAGCTAGCAGGAAAGGGGAAGCCCCAACTCTCCTTCCCTGAGATGCCGTCCCACCTGATAGACACCCAGGAAGTCCTTCAGGGTTGTGTCCACAGGAAGAGAGCCTAGCAGAGCTGGGGAGCAAAAAGAAAGGGGCAGAGCAGGGAGAAAAACAGGAGTGGGAGAAGGCATGGAGGAGGGTAACAATGACCCTGCACTTTGAACCTATACCATCCCTTCTGCTGGGGAGGTTATAATGGGTTACGGAGCCTTATGCCCTTGGAGGCTCTCGAATGGCACATGTATGATATGATCAGGAAATACCATGAATATTTTAAAAATTTTTAATTATTACAATGAGAAACACATTGCCATGAATCCCCCTCAGATGATTCCCCTAGCTTCAAACACATTTACCCCATCATTCTTGTAACGTTCTGGAGCAGTTCTGGAGGTCCTCTTTCATGTGTACTACTGTTGTGGGTGCCTTGATGTCGTGGCCTGAATTGATTCAAAAGATTTATAGCAATTTTTATCAGGATGTGCCCTCATTCTCCGGATCTGGCACCAGGTGACTTGTGGTTCTTCCTCAAAGTCAATATGACCATAAAAGGTCAACATTTTGGATTGATTCGGGACACTGAGGCAGCCACAACAGTGCAACTAAAGACACTCAGGGAGGAGGGCTCCAGAGCTGCTTCAGAGAGTTGCAAAAGCAATGGGATGGGTGTGTTTGAAGTGGGGGTGAGTAATTTGGGGAGGATTAATAGCAGTGTGCCAGGTACTGTAATACATTTTTTAAAATTTTAACATTCACTATAGAGTTGGAGGTGTGAAGGGATTGGCCAAAGCCAGAAAATCTGGAAACTATCTCATGCTTGGGGTCATGGGTTACCTTTATGGACCGCCCATCTGGAAATTGACCACTTTGATGAAACTGTCTCTATCGAATGAATCAAAGGAAATCAATGTGGTTACCACTGCCACTGGGGGCGTTAGCATCATTACCGTGACCCATGCCAAAAACCTGGACTTAGCAGGTGGTGGCACGCTTGGTGTGACATGCTGGACATGTGGGCTGTGTTCTCTGGCCCCAGAGACAGCTCTCCTGCACTTCTGGGTGTTCTGGCGTGACCTTTTCTGGTACAGTATTCTCAAGGAGACCAGAAATGTCACCACAGATCCGACCAAAGGCTACAAGCCCAGAATTTTGACCACAGTCCCAAGGGAGGATATGAGGGAGAGTCCAGTGTTTGCATCCTGAAAGGCAAGAGATACACTTGGAACTTCTCTGGTTTCCCTTAATAATCTACTGCTTATCAGTTCATCCATTAATCAAGATTCTTCTGGAACAAGTGTAAGTTCTCAGTTGTTCTGTGCAAGGTAGAACCTTCTGCTGTCCTCTGAGTTCATGCCCTGCTGTTTGAACAGGATTCTTGAACAGGGCAGTCACTGTGGCTCAGAAACCTGCAGGGCAACACCAACTTCCAAGAATCCTCAGCTTTCACAGAGCCTTCCGGAAGGTTTTCCTCCAGACCACCAGCAAGATCAGGAAGTACCTTGCAGAATGTCGCAAACCCGCAGAAGCCTCAATTCACCAGTCAGTTCTTTTAGAAATCGAGAAAGCAAGCAATTTTGAGAAACTGGTGGCTGCGTTTCCTGAGACCTGCAGGCGAGCACAAGCGAATGTGTCTCCCAGCACTTCTTGAATGGTTGCAGTGAATCTGTCACTTCATATTCCAAGATGGCTGCCAGAGATCCATCCATCAGATCCACATTCCAAGTCAATAACAAGAGAAAGGAGAAAAGAAAAAGGATATGCGTGCCTTTTACAGAACCTTTTCCAGAAGGCCCACACTAACATATTTCACTGGGCATCATTTTATCATATGGCCACATATTGCTGCAGAGAAGGCTGGGAATATCATTTTTTAGCTCTCTGTAGTGTCTCGAAGTCAGTTACGAAAGAAGAAGGGGAGGATGGGTATAAACAAAATTATACTGAGCAAAACGAGCCAGGACACAAGAAGAATGTATACTGTATGGTTCCATTTATATGAAACTCCTGGAAAGGCAAATCTAATTTATAGCAGCAGCAAGCATTGCTGATTGTGGGTCAGAATTTACAGGGTGTGGAACAAGGAAGCTTTTTGGGATAATGGAAATGCTCTGTGTCCTGATTATGATGCTGCTTATACAGGAGTACAGATTGGTCTTCCAATCTGTACAAGTGTTGTCTTCCAAACATACACTTCCAAGGGATGCCATTTCATTTGAACTATATATTATACCTCAGTAAAGTTCAGTTTTATAATTATGAAAAACCCCAACACTATAACAAAATTACTCTTAAAGTTTATTCATTTTCCTTCTCTTTTATTTGCATATCTTGACACAGCTGAGAGTACAATGCTTATACTCACTTGGAGTCCTGCATTCTTCGCTTTACATCATAAGATTTTTCCATGTTGCTTCGTTGATCTTCATAATCGTAACTTGAAATGACTGTGTGATCCTTTGGGAGTTTGAAATGTAACGTGTACACATACAGTTAAAACAATTCACAAGCACCAAAGAACACACAATAGAATGGAGTCTCCCTCCCCCTGCAACTCTGTAAGACCCTTACTTAGAAGCAGTGGATTCCAGTTTCTAGCACATAGAACCAGAAACATCCTGTGCATATAAAGACACACGTGTGAAGACCTCCTCTCCTGTGAGACGTCTCGGTGGCAATCCTGAATACTCACTTGCTCACATGATACATCTTGGACACCCGCTCCTGTTCTTCATACGGTCTGAATGTCCTCTCATTTATTGAACCAATATTGTTAAGCACATAGTGTTTCCCCGGTTTCTTTTTTCCTATTAATCATGCCGTAAATGTCATATTACTGGTTTGACTCAGCTACTAAGTTTAAAATAAATGCTATGTTCCAAAGGAGCTGCTAGGCTGTCTACAGCATTTACCAGGCAAGATGCTTAAAGCCAGCTGTGCTGGTGCACACCTGCAGTCCCAGCTGCTTGGAGGGCTGACATGGAAGCGGCTCAAATTCAAGGGCAGCCTGGGCAATTTAGAGATCCTGTCTCAAATAAAAAGTTCTGGAGCGTAGCTCAGGTGTAGAGGGCTTGCCCAGCATGTCCTAGTCGCTGGGTTTAATCTTTGGTACTGGAAAAAAAAAGGGGTGGAGGAGAAAAAGAAGAAGCTTAAAGCTTGTTACGGGACTGTGGGACCTCAGTGACGCTAAGGAGGGTATAAAGGCTGGGCACAGAGGAGACCGAGGGAGTAGTGAGGGCTTCCGCTTTCCCCCAGCGTCAAGAAAGAGGAATTCAGAGTCACTCCGGACGCGCCCTCCTTGCTCCTCCCAATCCCAGGCCAGCGGCCCAGGTCGCGGGGCGTCACCAGCCCACGCCCGCCCGTCCTCGCAGCCCCAGGTTGTTCCCTCCCTGCCGCTGCCCTCAGGGCACTGCCCCACGTTCAGAGACTGCCCGGCCCTGGCAGCTTCACCAGGACCAGAGCCCAGCTGGGAAAATCCCTACCCACCCAGGAGGGCGACGTCCAGCGCGGGCTTCCCCGCCCGCTGCAGATCCTGGCCGGGGGGTGGGGGTGGGGTGCAGGCTCTGTGTTTCCATGGCCACCAGGGGACGCCAAGCTCTTTGGATGAGAGCCCAACCGAACGCAGAGGTCTCAGTACATTCCTTCAGGTCGTCTCATTAGTTTAGAATAACTGAAGCGGGGAGGGCAATCCCAGTTCTTCAAAAAAGTAAATTAAACATAAAGCGCTGGGGCTGTGGTTTCTTTCAAGGCTGTGCCTCATTCTGGCTCTAGGAGAGCCGCGTTTATCTAGCCACAGTGCGGAAACCGGAGCGTCTACCCACGGCCTGTCTGTTACCAGCTAGGGGGTCCCGCGGGATTCCCTCCGGATCCTCGGTGTCCTGAACACAGAAGTGGACGAGACAAGAGACACGGAAAAGGCGGCGCAAGCGTACATTTAGTGAAGGCGGAAAAGATCACGCTCTGCGGAGTAAGCGGGCGCGTGAGAAGGCGCACAGCGCCCAAGGAGGCGGACAGGGGTTCTTTTGTATCCACAGTTCCGGAGTTGGCTTCTCCCAATGCAAAGAAGGCACCAGGACAGTTGTCAAAAACCCACTTGGCCCGGAACCAGGTGTAGACTGCGCTAGGCAAAAACTCACGGGACTTCCTGCCAGATAGCAACAGGACTGAAAAACAGCACTTTTCTGATTGGTCTTACGAACCGCACCTGGTTCCGAGGAAGGACTGAAAATACCGCCTTCTGATTGGGTCTGTGGACAGCGCTCGGGAGCCCTGGGGTCCTCCTGGATCCCGTGTCCTGTGCATGTCGCTGGATTTTATGACCCTCGACTCCTCCCCCTCCCGTAGTGGCCTCTTCGCCCAGCCCTGATCTTCCGTTGCGCACCTCACAGAGAACTCCGTTCGGCGCGCTTGCCATTGGAGCAGGACATGAGGAGAGCATGAAGCAGAAGCAGAGGAAGAGCCTGGGGAGCCCCAGGAAGGGATTTCCTTGCGAATGGGGTTCAGGGCACAAGGGCGCGGGGTGGGGGTTGAGTGGCTAGAGAGGCGCTTCGTCCTGGGGACAGCAGAAGGAACCGCAGAGCCTGTCCCTCCTCGTACACCGACCCTAGCGATCCCTACGGGGCTCAGCGAGATCATGAAGGTGGAACGAGTTAGAAAAGCGCCCTGCTTTAAGGAATTCTCACTGATCAGGAGATGAAATGGAGATGCCCTTCCACCGCGGCGAAGGCCTGCCCGAGCTCCCCAGCCCTCCAGCCTCGGCTTCTCCTTGGATCCTGCATGGCCTCAATGGCAGAACAGAGCCCAAGGTGCCCCTGCGGCCCCCAAACCGAGTCCGGTGTGGCCTCGCTTTTCCCCTGGGGATGTCTGGCCTTTCCCATCCTTATTTTTCATTCTCTGCATTTTCTGCTTTACTCTTTAAAAAGAAAATCTTGCTGCATCGTAAGATTTTTTTTGGTAACCCACACGGATCATAAATAAATAAACGAGTCCTGTTTCAAAAAAAAAAATAAGTTTGTGGCTGGGCATGGTGGCACACACTTGTAACTCCAGCTACTTGGGGGCTGAGACAAGAGGGTCACAAGTTCAAGGCCAGCTTGGGCAACTTAGCAAGACCCCCAAATAAAAAGTAAAAAGGGCTGGGTATGTAGTGCAGAATGAGGCCCCGGGTTCAAGCTCCAGTAGCACATACAAAAAAAAGTGTGCGCGCGTGCACAGGTGTGGGTCATAAGTTAAAGGTTGTTCATGGGGAGGTTTTTGGAACCCATGAATATTGAATCTGTGGGCATTCTCCCTAGAGATCAGCCTGAAACGTGACACTTTGTAATATTTCTTAAAGTTCAGAGGTGTTGACCTGGAGGTCCCCCGGCTGGCATTTAGGAGCCGCATAGATAGGTCTGTTCTATGTTATTCTGAGGCTGAGTTAGGAGAGTCTCCGTGCTCACCCCGGCTGCTGCTTTCCTTACCCCCCCCCCCCGCAATGTGGCCAGGAGATCCTTGATCTCAGGTCTGGAAAGGCCAGTTGGCGGCTTCCCTTCTCATCCTCTGGAGCCGCTGCCCTGGCTGACAAAGGTCACCCCGCCTGGGCATGGAGGCCGCTTCTGCTCTGACTGGAGATGTTTTCTGTGACTTGTGCCCACGGGATCTTAGATGATACGAACGAGATAGTGGCATACTTCAATAAACAGAATATTCTTAAAATTGGGGACTATAAGAAAGCCTAAAGGACAAACAAGTGTTGTGCCCAGATCGCGATGTCCCAAAGACCACCAGGAGACCGTTTCCGATGTAAGCACACGAGGGTCGTTTATTCAAGCTTAAGCAGGG